TATTTCTCCTGTTAAAGTGATTGAATCTCCACTGTATGCCATCCCAGTAAGGACAAGAACCTCAAGGATTTTGACCTCATTTGTCTGGGGCTGTGGGAATATGAGAATGTGAGCAGGAGATGAGATCGCCAGGCCGCCTGGCAACTTCTCGGAAAGACCTGCCCCTCTGTTGCCCTAATAGTTTTTATTGCCTTTATTTGTTTGCTCAAGATGAAGAGACTCCGCGAGGAACATTCATTGAAAAGAGCCGCGCATGCTCAGTGAAAAAGCAGAGACAAAAACTTGTTGCTAGGCAGTAAAAATTACCCCTGTCTTTCCGGCGATCGTTGTTTTTTTTAGAGGTAATTTGAGAAGTTTTGTCTTGGTTTTCGTTTTTGCTTTTTTGTGGAGTTTGTATTCTAGGCCATTGGCTTTTGAGGTTGAACTCTTACTCTTACGTTTAAGCGAACAAAAACGTACTTGCTCGCAAGGTTTTCATTTTGTTGAGGTTTACTTTTCAATGAACTCTTGTTTTAAACTTTGCTTGGTGGCCAAACCGAACTGCTCAGGGCTACAGCTTGAACTAAACTGCCACCGATTTTGATATGTTTGGAGTCCCCACATCTGATCTCGTGCAAAAATTGTTATCTACTGAAGAGATAATGTTGATGTTTCAGCGGAAAAGGCACTAAAACGGTCGGACAATCTACGTAAATACGTCAAGTCAACTGAGATGTATTTTTGGATGCCCTATGTCTTACTTTTTATATGACATGTTTATTTGGCAAACTTCTAGTGGAAGTTCAGTAAATATATCGTGTGGAGTGCTGTTTACTGGGTCCTCACCCCGACACTCATGTGATCTGCTACGATTCCGTTACGATTCAGATACCGAAAATACATATATATATGAATGTGCCTGCAAGTTGTTATTTAACGGATGAATCAACTTCAGGGTAAAGTCTAGCCGATAACCGATAGCGGAGTCATTCACGGAACTTAATCAGTGGGCCTGAAGAGACGACATGTGCTGCAAATAGGCGACTCCACGGGTATTTCCCCCATGAACTTAGATAAGAGTATAGGGGGCACATAAAAATCGTTTCATAATTTAATCAACAAATTCGCATATGATTAATTACTTTTACTTAGAAATCTTATAAAAATATTTTTTAAAAATCACTTTTAAAAAGCTGTGGAATGCCGATAAGAGCACTTTCAGGAAAAAATACCATTATCATCTTGTTAATTTTAAAATATGTAAAAAACTGGAGCAGAAAACAAGCCATAAAAAATGGAAGAAATACTTTGAAATCGACTGTTTAATATGCTTTGCAAATAACACATTTTATTTTAGAGAACATGAATGTGTAAAAATACTTAACATTTCCCACAGAGATTTAAAAAACATTTATGATGTCTGACACGATCTATTTTAAATATATGATCAATATAAAATATAAAAAAAGTTCCACGGTATTTTATTATTTTAATAATATAAATATATATTTGAAATATTAATAGACATTTTCTACTCTTTTTAAAATAGGACCGACATTTTTGGTGGTTGAACAGAAGTCACTCAAAGGACAGCCCACCCCTATTGCGTGTCATCTTTCGATCCCCGATCCCCAGATAATCCTCACTCGTCTCCCTGTCCATTGAAAGACACCCAGTCAATCGCAATATGTTGACCCTATTTTTGTCGGTAAACAGATATTGCGACGCGTTCCTGATTTTCGCATGGCATGGCATTTCGAGGTCAATAATGATACAATGGAACTGTTTTCACTAACGGTTAACACTTAACACCCGAGTTCAGCACTCTTCTACCGATTCGGTTTCGGAATGAGATCGAGAGCGAGGACAACTCACCGGAAAATTGAAATGGCTCGTGACTCAGGCAAATTCCGCGCTGACAAATGAGAGAAATTCGCGTGGGGTTCGAGATGATTGAGGGGCACTATTTGTTGGATCGCTGCTAAATTCAGCCACTGCGAATATTTTGTGTTAACACGATTTTGCTATATAGTCACACAACGCTTTCGTGTTAATTATCCATGAAGGGCTACATTGGAAACGCACTGGTTGAGGTGTATATAACTTTTCCCGATTTCACTCGATATTCGGCTGGTTTATTGGCGGTTCTTGAGAACTAAACACGCACGTTTATTTCGATTAGAAAAAGTTGTGTCACTTCAGATCATTGAAACGTTTGGTACTTTTGTTGCCATGCGGCTTGTTTGAAATATCAGCGGCAAGTAACTAATTATACAGCGTGGTCGATTCGAATATATGTAATGTGCTGCTTGAGTGTTTTTTAATGGGAGAGTTTTGTAGAACGCGAGAACGTGGCGTTTTTTTATTTTTTTTTATATTATTTAAACTGAGCGTTCGGGGCGATACTCTTTATTTCTTGTATGCGGTACGTATTTTTAGCGTCGGCAATTGCACATCCAAGTGAAATTGAAAAGATAACACACAACGAAGTAAAAACTCGAGTTCAACACGAAGCACACAGATCACAGGGAATTAAAACAATTTTCCTTCCGTTTCGACGATGCGCAGCGGAGAGACTGATATTGTGGGCCTGAGGCCGAAGAGTTTTACGATCGGTCGGAATTGCTGGGTTTTCACTCAACTCGAAGAAGGCGGCTATCGGTTCGGTCTGTCCGCAGAAAGTACGAGAGCAGGCGCTCATTTACACCGGGCTACAAAAACAGTGAAAATAAAAAATATTTTGAAATTGATAACCACTATCTTCGGTTAAAATGTAAATATTCGTAGAAAAAAAAATAAAAAAAAGAAAAAATTTCTGAATTAAGTTTAATGATACAGAGCTGCTTTTAATCAAAAATATATTATAGTATAGAAAAAATTATTTGAGATTGTTTAATAGTGGAATAACTTAAATATTATGATGTCTCTATTTCAACAAGAAAGAATTCCAAATTTCTATTCAATTTGTATATATTTATTTAAAAAATGCTTAATTATAATTGCATACAGAACTAATATGACTTTAAGCTTTTTGTAATTTATTTTAAAAATAAAAATTAATCATGTGGCAAGTAAAAATAACTTAAGTAAAGTCCAACCTCAAAATTATATTTATTAAAAGAAAATTAACGTTACTTCTGGAAATAAGTTATATTTATTTGCAGACTAGAAGCATTGGAATCCAAATAGGTTTTTCTGTAAATTAGTCAATAAATTTAATAATTTTATACATTTTATGGCTCTTATAAGAATCGTGCTCCCACTTTCCATGTAGCTCAGTGCTGAGTGTATTTTCTCCACTCAATTGGCAGCCGGTGAGTGGGTAATCTCACCTTGCTCTCCCTGATTTTTTCACTCCGATCTTTTCGACCTGGCAACGGAACTCTCTTTCGCACTTGGCGAATTGATTTCATGTGCATATGTAAATTGAACAGTTATTCGTGACGTCTTACGGCCATTCCGCTATCGCTTTTCGAGTGGAACTCCGCCCCTCAAATCGCAAATCGCTGTTCACAGCCAAATGGGCAAACAAAACGTGCGGCGATAAGACCCAAACCCAAGTGATATGGCGGAAATGCTCTCAGCCTGATTAATTTGGGTACCCTAAAATGCGACAGGCGCTAAAAATTCGCACAAAGTCGTGGATAAATAGTAGGAAAAAGTACAGTTTGGAGCTCTTATCGCAGGTTTACCTGAACAAACAATCGCATCCCCTGCAAGTGGAATGAGTAATCCGTATCGAAATAACACCTGAACGGAAGGCATTTGAACAAAACGAATGGCTGACAGTGGTAACGAAATAAAATAAAGAAGAAAGGATTTTAAATTTATGAAAATTAATATTTATCGGTCAATTCCAGGCATTTGCTCAAGCTTATATGCTAATTAGCAACGTTCCCTGTTTTCACATTCTTGGGTTTATTTCAATTTTTAATCAGCAACCCAGATTTTAAAATTCTTTTCAAATCAAATTTTCGTTGGGTTTTAGAACCGTTCTGAGGGTTGTTTTGTATGAGAACTTTGCCAGCCGTTTTTCAGCTGGTTCCATAGTGTAGCGGTTATCACGTCTGCTTTACACGCAGAAGGTCTCCGGTTCGATCCCGGATGGAACCAGAAGGAAATTAACTTTTTTGAAATTTATTTTTTTCAATATTGAAACTTTTTTTTGTTGCTTAAAATTATTTTAAGTGCTATTGAATGAGAATTAAATATTTTTAAATATTTTAACAATATAAAAAAGACAGAGTATAGACAGTTACAACATTTTTTAAATGATTAAAAAAAAAATTTGTAAACTCCCATTTTGTATGAAAATAAAACATTTTTAATATTTAAAAAAAATAAAAAGGACAGAACAATTATAAATGCTTTGAATACAAATTGTATGCCCAAATATCTTAATGCTGTGTTTTTATAAACTGGTCTTAGCTTATAAGGTGTCTGTGTGACTTAAAAAATGGAAAAACTATTCAAATTGACTCACAATTTAACAAATATTAAAAATATTTAATATTTATAATTAACTGTGATACACTCTTGCGTATCAATTTATTCATTAGATATACATACCAAACTAGTTTCCGTTTGTATCGCATTTATTTAAATTTTTAATTCAATCTAATTAAGTTTAATTTTCTTAAATAGCGTTTTGTTTTTAGGTTCAGTAAAAAAAAAAAAGTTGCTAATAAAACAAAAAAAAATAAAAAATTTAATTTCCACCTGGTTCCATCCGGGATCGAACCGGAGACCTTCTGCGTGTAAAGCAGACGTGATAACCGCTACACTATGGAACCAGCTGTTCGAAGGCCGTCCAAATTTCAGTTTTCTCCAGCCAGGGGATGAAAATCCATAGCCTGCTTTTAAGCTGTTCTATAAATTCAGTGCGGAAGAGGAAGAATAAGTGGCGCCTTAATTCAAAAATAAAAATTCATTTTAGCTTTATAAAAAAGAAATAAAAAAGGGAAAAAGAGAATGGATTAGATCAGAGATGGATGTTTCATTTAAATAAAAACCCTTCAAAGTTATCTGTGAGTATCATATATATTTATTTAAAAGCCAATAGCACATCAATAATACCTTATGTTGTGCCTATTCGAGTAAAATCTTGTTTCTACTTAGTTATAAGCATTATAAAATAGATATAAGTTAGAAATTAAAATTACAAACACAGTTGTAAATGTATTGCACCGTTGTTCAACCTAAAAAGTATGTGTCCTAAACAATAAATCAACAAAAGCTAAGGTCTAACAAAAAGGAAATTCGCTGAGCAAATGAACTTGAGGCTGTAGAAAATCAGGATAAGCAGGAGAAGAAACCAAAACTGGACGCGCAGACCGCTGAGGATATCGCTTCAATATCGCCTGGCGGTTGTGGGTCTGGGAACGCCCGAAGTCCTTGGCCTAGCGGACTTGGAGCGCAGCGGATTCGAGACTCCATCGGTGTTGTAGCTGAGATAAACGTGCGAGAGATCGAGGAACTCGGGCTCTTTGCCACTCGTCTTGTGGGCCGAGATATGCTTCCTCATGTTGTTGCCCGTATAGGCCACACATTTCAGCTGCCACTCGCCGATGTCCTCGTTCCAGTGGGTATACTGATTGATCATCGACTGGTACTCCTTGGGCACATAGGAATTTAGCACCAGTTCGCAAAGGGCAAGTTCCCGGGAAAGGCTCCTGATGTTCTCGTAGATTCCCTCCTTTTCGCGCTGGTGCTCTTGCTGCTGATCTGCCAGCTCAGATTTTACACCCATCAGCATTTGCATTACTCGATGGATCTTCTTTGTTATCCCAGTACTAGCATCTTGCAGGGTGGAATATCGCTCCTCGATGTCAATTCTTTCGGTGGCCTTTTGTTGCAGCGTTTGCTTGAGTGCCTCCTCGGATTTCTCGTGCTGCTCCAGCTCCGCAATGGATTGCTCTAGCAGCATCTCCTGCGTTTGGGCTTTCTCGAGGAGGTTCTCACCGCCCACGAGGATTTTTCCCTCTAGGGAAACCAGCTTATTGCGTAGCGTTTCCTGCTCTGTCTTGGCATGCTCGATTTCCTTCTGATGTTCGTTCTTCCGCTGAGCCAGCTCCTCTTTCTCCGCATCCGTTTTCTCCCGCTTCTTCTTGGGCTTCTTCTCCACAGCTTGGATGGTTGAAGATTCCATTTCGATCTCGAGGGGGGCCTCTAACTCATCGTCTGCTGTATCCTCCTCTTCCTCGGAGCTTGGCGGCTCCTCCTCCAAGCTGCTGCCCTCCTCCAGTTGCTTTCGCAGCCGAGCAATCTCCTCCTGAAAGTGACGCAGCAGCGCATCCTTGGGCTCCTCGTTGATGTGCATGCGATTCTGTATGTTCTTCGCGCGACTAGCATATCGCAGAGTGGATATAGTCTCCATATAGTTGCTGTCCGCTGGGCTTATAGTGGCACACATGACGGTCTTGGAGTTGCCGCCCAGGGAATCCTGCAGCAAACGCGTTAGCTTGGAGTTCCTATAGGGAATATGAGTGCTCTTGCCATCCACCAAAGCACTGATGACATTTCCCAGCACCGAAAGTGAGAGATTAATCTTGGTGGCCTCCTTCAGCCGCTGTCCACTGGCCTGGGTTTTCGACTGCCTTTCGGATCCGGCGAGATCCACCAGCTGCAGCTTGCCCATCCGCACATGCTGGGCACCTCCTTCGCCCAGTTCGCTGCGCTCCACGGTTATGGAGAAAATGGCATGGGATCTCGAGCTCTCCTGGTTCATTTTGGTGGCGCCCACAGCCCTGTTTTTATTGCCCAATCGCATGATATTCTCCAGATCATCGGCATTGTGGACCACATAACCCGAGAGATCCTTGACAAAGACCCCGATATCGGGTCGCTCCTTGACCTCCAGACTCTTGCCCACGTCCTTGCCCAGCAAATCCCGAACCTCTTCGTTGTAGATCTCCATATAGCTGACTCGCACCAGGAATTTCTGATTTTCCTTGGCCTTGGCAATGTGTCCAAAGATATGGGCAAATGCATTCGGGATTATCCCCTTTGTTTGCGGGGAATCGGGATTTCCAGACATTGTATAGGTTTTGCCCGTGCCCGTTTGTCCATAGGCTAGGATAGTACCGTTATAGCCCTCCAGTACTTTATCGACTATCGGACGAGCGGTGTCCACATAGAGATCCATTTGATTCGAGCCCCCATCGAAGACGTTATCGAAATAGTACGTTTTCGGCGGTTCATTGGCCGTTGCATTCGGTTTCATTACCGTTATAGCTCGATTCAGTTTATCCACCGATATCGCACTTAGCGCTCCTGCGGACATCTCATTTTTGTCCATCGGTCGCGTTCGCACCTGAAAATCATGTAAGATCAATAATTAATAAAAGTTATTTTTATAGTTTAATATGTTGCAACTGTTTAAACCAGGGTAATATTGGGCAAAAACCTAAAATATTTTCTGTACGCACCACCACACGCACATTCTCGATTTCGTCATCGAGCTGCTGGGCCACCGCCGTTGTCCCGTTATTTCCCTCGTCCTGCGGCATTGTTAGGTTGATCCTCGGTCTCCTCTGGCTGATTCCCTATCCAGTGAGCTGTTCTGTCCACTTTTTGCGCTGGCCGCTCTGGGTGGAAATCGATTTATGGGGTTTTCCTTCGCATTTGTTTATGCGTTGCTAGGTTTTTTTTGGCGAATGATTAACGGGTAGTCAGCTGTTATCGATAAAGTGGGTGGAGGGTGATGCCAGATCAGCGGAAAAATGTATTAATCGGCTGGGAGTGCTAATAGGAAAAAATACCAAAACATTGGATATGGATTCAGAAAATATTCTTTAAACTAGTTTTAATTTAAAGAAAAATAATAAATTAGGTCAAGAAGCATTTATATTTACCATATTGTAATATTTTGAGGAACTTAAAATACCTCTAAATAAACGATATATTTATAAATGAGAATAAATATTGCCCCCAAAGTTCTGCTAAAGTTTCTTATACTTTGAACAGCTGTACTTGAAATATTCTAATTGATATCATCAAGTGGTTGTTGATATTAGAAAATCTTAATACCAACAGGTGGTTCCAGTTAGATTATTAGGAACTATTTTAAAACAGGTTAAAATATGAAAATATAATTTCTAAAAGGCCGTAGTTCTTTAGTTTCCAGTGCTATTTCCATTAGTTTTAGTATTTTTATAGATAAAATAAATATATTATAAAAAACAGTAAAAAAAATTTAAAAATTAAAGTAATTAAGCAAATAATAATAAAAATAACAAAAAATATATAAAAAGTTATAATTTAAAAAATACCAACTATCGCTGAAACTCGCTGCTCAGAAAAAGAGCGGGCGAGTAAACATCTGCCCACCACCTCCGCGAGAGAGTCCCGAAGAAGAGGAAGACGTTGTGCCAGTGGAACTAAAAGATTCGATTGGCGATTGGCTGCCCGCAGAGTTTCCTTTACACGACCAGACGACGCAGAAATTAAAACTCCGGCCACCATGGCAGCGACATTGCGAAGATTCCATGGCTTGAGATTGCTGAAATCCGCGCCAGCACTCAACCTGCAGCAGGTAAAAATCCGGGAGCTACGGAGAGAAATTTTCCAATAGCGCCACCATCTCGAGCACCTTGAAGAAGTCGTGTCAAATGGAGAAAAACATCAAATAATCCGACTCCATGGGATAGAAAACAAAGCCAAGTAGCACGAATCAAACGGTATAGTGAATAGCAGCAGGGATTCCCAATCTTTTGGGTCCCGCACTGCATAGATACGAACCGAACACCCCAATTATGTAACTCCGTGCAAAAATTCGTACTCTCCTTGGCCGACCGAGAGATTAAAAGCCGTATCTTCTCTCCTTTCGCAGGCGAAGAACCTCTCCTCCGCCGGAAGTTGGGCAAGTGGCAACAAGAAGGTAAGTCTGCGAGTCAGGAATCCCAGATGATATTCCCCTACTTGGCATTTCATAATACCCGAACGGCCCTAACCTCAAAACGCGTTTGCTTCTCGGTGACTGTGTGCGGGTGTATGTCGGTGTGTGTGTGCGGCAAACAGCTGATCGGAGCCGTGGGAGCGATTACCGGCGGAGTAGGAGCCCTCCTCTTCGCTTTGGAGCAATCCGTGCAGGCCTCCGGCGGAGAGGTGCACGCCCACGCACAGGGCTGGAACCACAAGGGCCTCTTCGATGCCCTGGATCACCAGAGGTAAGTAAAAGTGGAGGGGTATACTCCTTATATAGCAAGGTACTGCAGAATTCAACCTATTCGGGATGGATAGATTGGACTTACGGATCATATTTGGTTGGAATAGATAATTTGGATCTATATCATAGTAAACAAAGGATAAATTTTATAAGGTGAAAACAAAAACACAGTTTTTTCCGAACTAAGCTAATCAAATTGTTCGAATATGGCTTGGTTTTCTAATCTTGATAATCTGATAGCACAAATATGTATACATACCATTACATAGTATACCTAGAAATTTTCTAGAAATCGGTTACTTATTGTACAATTTCATATTATCATAATAACAAAAGCTAAAACATTTAGGGCGGTTTTCTCGTCCGCCTGTTAAATTTAAAGTAGGGATACAACTCTGATTTTAAAGAAAAACGGCCCTTATGAATTTATAAAATCAGTTAGACCTTGAAGTCTTGAGAAAGATAAAATGTTGGTCCTGAAAAGTAGTCATATTTTTTACATATTTCTCAGCATTTGTTTTGACTATTCTAGAATCCAGAAGTCCAGTAAGGGAGGACCTATTATCAATTATTCCAGATTTTTTAATTATCTGAATAATATACATATTTTAAATCCTATTTTTCAGCGTTCGTCGTGGCTACGAGGTGTACAAGCAGGTGTGCTCCGCCTGTCACTCGATGCAATACATTGCCTACCGCAATCTGGTTGGTGTCAGCCACACCGAAGCCGAGGCCAAGGCTGAGGCCGAGCAGATCACGGTGAGTCTGGCGAAGCATCTCTTAATCTATATAGAAATTAATTAAATAATCAAACCCCGAACAGGTCAAGGACGGTCCCGATGACACCGGCAACTACTACGATCGCCCCGGCAAGCTGTCGGACTACTTCCCGTCGCCTTATCCCAACGAGGAGGCGGCCCGTGCTGCCAACAACGGTGCCTATCCTCCGGATCTGAGCTACATCGTTTCGGCCCGCAAGGGCGGAGAGGATTACATCTTCTCGCTGCTCACTGGCTACCACGAAGCTCCTGCCGGAGTGGTGCTGCGCGAGGGCCAGTACTTCAACCCGTACTTCCCGGGTGGTGCCATTTCCATGGCCCAGGTGTTGTACAACGAGGTGGGTAGAGTCTTTCAAATAACTCCAGCTTTCTTCTCATAGATTTATGAATTTTGATTTTATTTTGAAACCTAAAAATTATTCAGTAACTCAAGAAAAAGTTCTCACATTCAATCTGATATTATTTTATTATTATCATGATCATTTTGAAAATAACCTATTAAAAATGTAATGTTTTTAAGAGGATATCCTTCCAAACAAATATTTTTCTAGCTGAAAAACTTTTTAATATCTTTCAAGTTTAATTAAAATAATCATAGATCCATTAAATAAATCGAAAAAAAGTATTTTATCGTAGAAAAGATTATTTTTCTAGTTGAAAAAACTTTTTAATATCTTCCCAGTTTGGAAAAATTATTATAGATTCATTAAATAAATCGAATAAAATATTTTATCGTAGAAAATATAAAAATTACAATTTAAAATCGAAAATAAATATATGAGAAGGATAAACTATATGCTTAGATTGCCATATTTTAATGGATATCCCTTTCTCTACAGGTCATTGAGTACGAGGACGGCACACCGCCGACGCAGAGCCAGCTGGCCAAGGACGTGGCCACTTTCCTGAAGTGGACCTCCGAGCCGGAGCACGATGACCGCAAGCAGCTGCTGATCAAGGTGATCGGCATCCTCGGCTTCCTGACCGTCATCTCGTATTACATTAAGCGGCACAAGTGGTCATCGCTCAAGTCGCGAAAGATCGTGTTCGTGCCCAAGGAGAAGTAGAATGTTTGAATTTGATTTTGATGGTGTGAAGAATTGCAGTGTTATCGCGGCTTTACCGACTAATAAAGATAAATCAATTTTAAGCAAAACCCAAAACAAACACACAAAAGAACAGCATCCGCAACCACCAAGTCAATGTTCTCTCTCCACGAAGAAATAAACAAACAATAATACGATCCAAATAAAACTAGCTAAATCTTGGTTATGCCCAAAAACCAAACAAAGATCAGATCGGAAAATTCAATAAGCGGGGGATTGAAGCTAAAGAAACTACCAGAGCCTAGCAAAATAAATATGAATGATGGATAATATAACATTGATTGTGTATAGCATGGATAATTCAATTATGTATTTAAAAAATAAACAATTGACAAATAAACGGAAGTGATTGTTGCAAAAATCATTCCCGAGAGGTGGTGAAAGGGATTTTTATGTTGAAAGGAAAGCAGATTTCTGATATTTGTACAGTTCTTAAATTTTTCAGTTAAGAAATAAATAGGTGGGTAAAATTAATTGTATTTAATTTAAAATTCCCTTTCTCATCACTGCTAATCATTAATCAATTTAAATCCTATATATATCCCAATTTTATCTCTCTTCCCAGTTCAGTTTTCAATTTAGAGATTTTGTTGACTTTTTGATAACTTTGGTATAACAATAACTCTCTAAATTTGTTGATCCTTATTCCATTAAGAAACAAATGTGTAAGACCCTTCGTCATTTAAACGGAATCTAAATTATTTACACCCCATAAGTGACGAATGATTCTTTCCACTTTTAGCCATTTTATTGGATTAATTGTTTTATTTAGAAGCTTAAATTAAAGTATTATTTTAATCATCGTTCATCATTCTGTCCGCTCGATTTCCTCATCGGCTTAGTGTGTGTGTGTGTATTTTTATATATATCTATAATTTCCACTTTTCAATGATTATAAATCGCGTCTTTCTCTCGTCCCAAGCGATTCGGGAGGAAGATATCGAAAAAAATGAAAAACAACTTAGAAATCGCTTCAATAAAAAACTTTCGTTCTGGCGCCGTCTACAAAAATTCTGTTCGACATGTTGTTGTTTTATTTAAATTAATATATATTTTGCTTTATGTATATAATTAATAAATTTTTAGTTTAGGCAAAAAACAATAATTACGCTTATCTTTTCAAATAAGTCGGCTCTCATGCTGTGATCTCTTATTTAATCTTTATCATTTTCATGCTTTGCTTTTCTGTTCGATTAGTTTACGGATTTGTTGTTTGCTGAGTTGAAATTATAAACTTTTCTTTCGCGTCTTTCTCATAGGCATTTACTCGTTTCGCTCGCTGCTGTTTGCTGTTTTATTTCTTATTTAAGAAGTGTAGAAGTAGAAGTAAGGTAACCAAACACGATGACATAGTTCATGACGGAAGGGACGACGACGACGACGACCTTTTCATAGTGACGCTTCTATCGCATTTTTCGCTGCTGTTCCCTTTACTTATAGTATAGCTTGCATTTGGTTGTTGTTGTTGCCACAATAACCGCACTCGATCTTTATTACGTTCATTATAATCATTCGCTGCCGCCGAAAGCAATCCGCGGGAGCAGCCACCACACGAATCTGTGCCACGAATGTGGAGACCTTGGTCTTGGACTTGGTTGGACTGATGGGGTTTTCCTGCTATTATTGTTGGGTGTGGATGCTGATGCTGCTCCCGCCGGAGTTGCAGTCGTTGCTGCTGCAGCTGCTGCTGGTGTTGCTAACGGATGTTGTCGACTAAAAACAGCTTCCTTCTGGCGGCTGTGCCAGCTTCAGGTTCTCTTTCATGGTCATAATCCTCCGAATTTCCTGCAGCATCGTTTTTATAGTGTACTCGCGACTCCACCTGGCCAGCATCTGCACTGATCTATGATCAACCTGTGGTAATCGAATGCAATTAATCATTGCTCACTCATCGAATCATCCAAATGTTTCTACTCACCACGCCATTGTTCTGATTAATGCAGTTAATGTTTACTTTAGTTAAAAACCTGAGCGTGGGTGGCTCATCCGGATAGCGCTCGCCGCACTCGATCTTTAGTGAATACATTCGATTCTCGAATGGTGTCTGTAAGCACAAGAATTTCCAATTACCATTTAATAGGTCTCTCGCCTGATTATACGCTAAATACTGTGTGCATGAGTCAGGCACCCATTCCCTTGAGTTTTTTTTTTCTATTTTTCTACTGCCACTGCAACTAAATCCATGTTCTGTTCGCAGACCCTACCACCCAAACTCCTCAATGATTCATGCGGCGGCGCGCGCAACACTCCTAGACTATACGAAAAAGTAAATGCAAATTTAGTTTTCCTTGTAAGTAATTCAAGGGAAAAGCTGTTTTCTTATATTCACATAAAGTGGGTAATTTAGTTGTGAGCTAACAAAAATAATAAATTAGCACATTAAAAAAGTTATCATACCTATATTTTGTAGCTACAATTCTAGATAGTTTGTCTTAACTCAGAATAAAGTATACTTATAATAAATAATCTATCTGCATTAAAATAGAACAGAGTTTGTACTGTTTGATGGATTTTTTTTGGCCAATCGACCGCTTTTCCTTACCATGATGATAAAATATTGCTGATTAATCTCAGGGGAACTTCGCTTTAAACAAATAAACCCCTAACAGTTATTAAGCTCATATCTACTACCATAAAAGGCAACATTTTAGCAATGTCAGTAACTTCTGAAGTCCACTCACAATGAGTTGCATTAGCCTCATGCTAATCGAATGCAAATATTACCAACTTTCCATCTCTCTAGCCATATGAAAACGCTCTAAAGATACGAATTCAACCCTGTTCTCATTGCTTTACGCAATCCAAGCGATAAAATGTCAATAATCCTAACGAAATAACTGATAAATCGGGCTTATCTAGTGACGTAGCGACGGGGAAAGTGCTGCTATCGGCCATACAAAACTCCGATCCAATCCGATCCGAATGGAAACTTACTCTAGGCGGACCGATGATCATGCCGATCCAGTAGGTGAGCGTCATGTCGTCGTCGTTCTCCAATCCCCACGATATGGTGCCATCGCCCACGCCCTTCTGGCCCTGATCCAGCTCCTCCAGTAAGCGGAAATTTCGTGGCACCACTGCAATGTGAAAAGGCAAAGAGGTGAGAACTCGATGACATAATGGATTTTCACTGAAAAATGTAAATGTTTAAATACTGTCATTAAGTTGACGGGCGCGAGTTTTTGTTTTTCCTGCTGCACAGGGAAAAAGTAATACTGGCAACTATTTACTATCCTATGTATCAATTAATTGAATTGAAAAATGTCGTTTTTTCTTTCTCTTATTTTGAAAAAAAGTTTTCTAGTTTTTAAAAAATTTCTATAAACAATGCCGTTAAGACCTGACCATTTTTTGAAAATATAATTAATTAAATAATATATTTTATTGAAGCGAAGCAACCAAACAAAAAATTTTTTTTATCTAAAAAGTAAATAAATTGTTATTGTTATTATTTTTCCTGTTTGGGGTTATAATTAATAATTATCACATGTTTTTTTCAGGATTTTCTTATTGGGAATTCAAGTCTTGACTTTATTTCTGATCTTTTTTTTCAGAGTAAAGGCAAGAAAATCAATATTTTTCTGATACAAAGTAAAATTTTAGCACATATTAGAATATTTTCTCAATTATAAAATTGTCATGTATTATTTGTTATACCACCTATAGAATTTGTACCCTTTTCAAGTGATATTTTCTCTCTGTGTGGGGTCATATGGGTACGTGTTGTTGTTGTTTGCGCTCTGCGTCTTATGTTGTTTTTGTTTTCGCCCGTGTGACTTTGCACGCATTTTCGTGCAGAGAACAAAAAAAAAGTGCGAAAAGACCAGATATTAAAAGCGATGTAGGCGCGCGGGGGGAGGGTGTGTCGGGGGCGGGGGAGGAGGAAGGAAAGCATAATTTCTGCATTTGCAAAAACAATCCGAGAAAATGTAATTTGCAGCTAATTTAATTAGAAAAGGAAGGCAGCTTGCTGAACGCACGCAAAACGCAAGTGTGCAAAAAATAAAATTAAAAAAAACTTCGAAGGCAAGAAGAAGAGTGTGCGGGAGCGAGCGAGACAGAGAGCGAGTTAGGAGGGGTGGAGCGGGGGGTGATATTTCGGAAAATGTCAAGTCACGAAGCGAAATTGCAACGGAGTTTTCCCCCGCTGGGGTAAAGCGGCCAAAGAAAATTGCAGAAGCGGCGTGGCCCGCCTTCAAAAATTATATACATTCGCCCGTTTCGCTTTTATCGGCTTTCGTCTTTCGCCCTTGCTTTCGTCTTCTTTTTCCCCGTTTTTCACACACACACACATTGCGGTCAGCTTTTCGGGCTCCTGGCGGCCGGAAAATCGTCGCCGGGCGGCGGGAAACACGGCAAACGGGTGGCCAACCGATCCAGGCACACTTCGAAACCGTTTTTTCGCCTCCAAATCCCCAATTTATCAATTTTATTTCTTACCAACGCCGGTACTTGATGTATTCGCCATTGTGGTTGATGCTAAATGTAAAATACCGAAAAAAGTGTGCTAACGCGTGGGCAGTGGAGTGACCGTGCGCGGGTTTTTGACTCTGTTAAGTGTCAGCGTTTAACAACACTGCAACTGTAAGTCCTAAATATAAAATACCAAAAAAATTTAAGGTTGCTTCTGGTCGATATTTAATTATTGGTTCTATAACAGGATTCTGTAAATGATTTTTATTAATGTATATCCATGATACTATCATGTATTTAAAATATGTCTGAAAATAAATTATTTAATCAATTAAAAAATAATAATATTTAACAAAAGTAGCTAGATTTTGTAATAGCCAAAAAGTATGGTCCCACAAAAAATACCACGCAGCTGGTCTGTTATCAGCGCTGTTAGCTAACATGACACAGTGTCCAATGTTAACGCGTCAGCTTTTTAAACAAACCGAATTTCGACTGATTAAATATTAATTGGCGAAACCACCGGCTGAGAATTAATGAGGAATCAATAGGAGGTCCAAAATGGAAAGCCTCTACCACCAGACCAATAATGCGGTGAAGGACATCGAACGGGATTTCCAGCGGCTGAGTCAGCTGAGTGCCCAGGAATCTCTTGACGTGGAAAATGGAATTCAAGTGAAGATTACCCAGGCGAACTCGTGGGTTTTATAAGAAAATATATCATTAGAAGTAGTATTATTAATGGTTCTTCTATCCTTTTTAGTAACTGCGATCGATTGGATGTGCTGCTGTTTAAAGTGCCCCCCTCCCAGCGACAAAGTTCCAAACTTCGTGTGGATCAACTGAAATACGACCTGAGACACCTGCAGACTTCCCTGCAAACGGCGAGGGAACGAAGACAGCGGCGCATGCAGGAGATCTCGGAAAGGGAACAGCTTCTAAACCACAGATTCACTGCAAATAGTTCGCAACCCGAGGAAACCCGCCTGCAATTGGACTACGAACTGCAACATCATTCGCAGCTGGGAAACGCCCATCGGGGAGTGGATGATATGATAGCCTCCGGGAGCGGCATTCTCGAGAGCCTCATCTCGCAGCGAATGACTTTGGGGGGAGCCCACAAGAGGATCCAGGCTATAGGCAGCACTCTAGGCCTTTCAAATCACACCATGAAACTTATAGAACGACGGCTGGTCGAAGATCGGAAGATATTCATCGGGGGTGTAATTGTTACCCTGCTTATCATCGCTCTGATCATCTACTTTCTAGTGCTCTAAGTCGCAGACCGTTTAGTTGAGTTTAAATTAAATATACTCTATTTTGTAAAATGTTAAATGCACAATGCACGGCTGCTTAATCATCGCTTTCCAGTGAGATATTGCTACCGAATCGCTGGTACAGATGGGCCTTCAGCTCGTCCATCTCCGCCTTGATCACCTTGGCCTTGGCCTCCACGCCGGCGATCTCCTTGAGCACCTGATCCTTGGTCTCCTTCAGCAGATCCTGGGTCTTCTCCAGCTTGTGCGAGAGGAAGACCTCGCCCACGAGGAAGGGAATGTCCTCGTCCTCGTCGAACAGCTCGATCTCCTCGAGAGCCTCCTCCACGCACTTCAGCTCGTTGCGCTTCATCTCCAGCTCGGCCTTGAAGTCATCCATGCGGGCGTTGTGCTTGGCAAAGCGGTTGATCCGCTGCTGGTCCTCGAAGGATATGTGCACGTCATCGTGCTGGAATAAAGGGAATTCAATTAGAATCGATTGGGTAAAGGGTATAGTATTATAAACCGTTTTGAAGGCAATTAAACTATTTATAAGAAAGTCTTTTATAGTAATTCTTGTAGTATGAAAATTATCATATTTTAGGGTTATTAATAAATGGTTTTCGGAATTTTTTTACTACTACATGCCATTATATACAATGCAAATATTTAGCCCATGTGCCTGAATAATAAGTGGGATATCTTAACTATTTAATATTATTTATAACATCATATAAGGCTAATATTAAATAGAGTTAAACAACAAATTTAAATAAATTAACAAATAACAGATGGCCGGAATTTTCTAGATCCTTTATTATCTGAAGGAAATAATAAACAATATATGTTTAAAGGATGTAGGGTAGCAAAGACCTACGCCTTTTGGTTTTACATATTGGATTAATATGAAAATTCCTTATAACGAGGGTATATTATTTTTTAAAGGGCCACCGGGACCATCACAAAGTGAGGTTACTTTTCAAGCCCCTTTCAATCAGCTGTCCATGGATGATTCACTTGTACTCACATTCTGGAACACCTTGTTCGTGCCGCTCGCTACTTTTGCTGCCATTTTCCAGAGATTTTCAATAAATTTAATAAATAATTTAAGCTGTTTTACAAACAGTTGCTGGTTTCGGTGCTTGGCAAAAATGTATGATTTATAAACATTTCAGTGCTGACAAACGTCAGCGGGGGCGTTAGGGTATTTTTAGCCAGTGATGCCGCTATAGCTATTTAATAGGGGTCTTTAGCTATTTTTACTGTAAACATTTTTAAATATTTAAAAATTTGTTTAGTGTACTTTTAAAAATTAAAAAATTTGAATTTTTTATAATTCAAATTAAGTATTCACTATAAATAGTGAACAGATTGTTGTGAGTTTATATTTCATGCTTACGACTGGATGTAAAATTTACATTGTAGATAATTGTAGCATCACTATTCGTAGCAGTATGTTAGCCGTATTCTTTAGGTTAACAGTGTAAAACTCGTGTAAAAATATGTAATTTGTGAAAGATACTCCTTTTCCTTTAATTAAATCAAATTACAAAAAATATAAAAAGTTTTATTTTAAAATAATTAAGTTCATTATCAAAATATTTTATAAAGATAGACATTATAATAAAACATATTTAATAGCATATAGAAGTATATTTTTTACAGATTTTAAAAAACAAATTGGTTTTAGCCGAACTAAAATAATTGGCAATCTAAACTAAACTAAACGAACTAAAATTCTGGTAAATCTCAAAATTTTTGGATAGCATGAACGTATGTTTGAAACATTATGAATAAATGAAAAAAAATATCACAAAAAATAAATTGCTTCTGTGATTTCCCCTACATTATGTCCCCCATTTATTCGCTATTCGCCAGGAATTAAGCCCGCCACACAGCTAATTAGTCAAAGTTATTATTGCTTCCTTTTGGCCATTCGATTTAATCACTAATTGTTTGCACATGTCACAAATTAAGCAAAAACTAATAAATTATTTCAGTTAATCGCCGTAATTAAACGGGATTTCTTCACCCGATGCAATTAAATTTCCGTTGTCAGCTTAGGAATTTTCATTTCCCCTTCTCACTCTCCCCCGCTTTCCATTGAATTTCCCGATTTCATCCGCATTAAGCGGAGTATTTCGGATGGCGAATGCATTTGCCACTTTCATTTCCCCCTTGGAATATTATCAAAATATGCAAATGCAATTAGACGGAACTTAACATTATCCATTAAGGGAGTGAGAAAGAGCAGGATGTTTGCTTCAAGGAAGAGAGATAGTGTTAATATCCTGGCGATGACTTTGCTTTTCCTTTCGCTTTTCCGCTGAAAATCCCCTCGGGCATTGTCATCTTACAAATTGCAATCATTTCGGTTTTAGGCAAATATTTGCCATGGATTCGAAATATATATATGCAGCAGTTTCTGCAAATTGATGCCTAATTTATTGAATTTGCATTGCATCAATGGAAAAATGTTATTTGCTGCAACAAGTTGTTCGTTGACTTTTATCCGGGTATCAAACTTGTGTACTGGAAATTGCATCAGTTTATTAGTTTAGACTTGCAATCGGATTAGGCTGGCCTTTAAATCAACATTTTTATGGATTTTGCGCAAAATCAGTTAAATTTATTTAGATTTACACACACAAAAAAAGCATGTCGCCGTAAAATCAATATGTGCATGTAAATTTCTGGGTATGCAAACCAGAAACAATCCAAGAAATAAAGAAATAAACTAATCGTGAACATCAATAACAATATTGAAAATTATTTATGGCTTTAAAGTTAATAAATTTTTCACAATTAAAAAAAGCTGCAAAATTGCACAATTTAAATAAAAGCAAAAGGATACACTAGGTTGGTATATCTTTTGCTGCCACCCCTTAAATTACTTCCCATTGACCCACTTTCGGGTCATCAAGTATTGCCCACATCGAGTGTCGCACATATGGGCTGTGAGTCCTTGCTAAAAGGATTCTCCCCTCCCCTCCCCTCTTCGCCCCGCCATTCTTCTCCAGTGCGTGAATCCTGATGAAACACGAGGGAAATCAAAAGACATGGCGTCAATCAGTTTTCCACTAAACCAGGCAGATGTCGGTCGCCTCCTGCGGGCTCTTTCTCTGCCTCCTCCTTTCCCTTTTTGAAGTCCCCTGGATTTTGCCCCTTTTTCCCGATCTTCATCGAGTGGAAAACTTGGCAGCAATTGGCGACCCGCAGTTGAAGTGAAGTGCAGTTCCCCCTCCGAAAAGAGGTAGTTAAACTTTGCTTAGCTCGGCTATCGATATATTTTTGGGGTGCTTGTGCTTCAGTTGGTATTTACATTTGCCCAACTATTTCATTGTTTGTCCATTTTGCAGGATGGATGTGCTTTGATTTCGATTTCATTGCACACAGGTGCGCACGAGGACAGTTCGGTTCGGTAAATGCTGTTTGATCAAGGCAACTATTTGTAGTTCCCCGGCAGTCTTTACATTCAGCCAAAAATGTTTAGTATTTCGGTTGAAAAAAAAGGTACAATATAGGGCAATATTTTGTAAAATATAAATCGGTATTGTATAAAATTGTATTGTATAAAAAAAAGATTTACAAAATTATTAAAAACTTCTGTAACTAAAAATAATTTAAAAAAATTTTTATACACCTTTTTTTATGTAGTGTAATATTTTGTGAAATATAAATCGTAAATAGACTTAAATTTAAAAAAAAAATATACTTTAAAATATTACGGAAAGCTACCCTATTTTGTGAAACGTAAATCGTAAATGCCCATTTTACAAACAAAAGAAATTATTTTAAAAAAAATTACTGAAAATATCAAAGTTTTCAAGCTATTATGATAAGAAAATTTTATTTTCTTCTTTTAACTATTTATTAAAATGGTAAGTATTATATCTTAACTTCCAAAGTTTAAGTATATTTCTTAAAACAATTCAGAAGGCTTTTTCCCTATTTTTTTTATTAGTATCTAAAGTTTTCTGCCTCTGCTGTATTTTATTTTATATATGAGAAATGCCAAGTCTTGTTTATTTGCAGCTGCAATTTGTGGTTTTTGTCAAACTTTGGTTCTCCTTTATCTCTCCGGAGTGTCGTAGTCGAAGTCTCGAAATTGTTTATGTTTAATGGGAGTTTCGTCTTAAATATGCCTGCTTTAAGTTCTTCCGATCGAATAGAGCCACCCTCCCCATGGAAATTGAGTTAACAATTCTGGGTTCTGGGTTCTCATTTCGCATTCCGTTTTCGTTTCTCTTTATTTTTGCGGGATTCGATTGCAATTTGTGTTATTAAAAGCCGCCTCTGTGTGGGTGGATATCAGCTATAGAGCTTTAATGCGTTAATTTATCAAGTCTGGAGCAGCAGACTCCAGACCCATTCTATGTGGATTGTGTTGTATCTCCGCATGAGAGTCACGTTCCCTGATGAGAGGCTTCAAAAGGATTTATGGCCTCACTTAAGTTTCCCTCCTGATGGGCCGCATTTCGAGTTTTGTTCTCGGCTCCACGACAGGTGCCATAAGTAGGACGAAAATGAATAATAATGGCACCTACTCTAATATATGATTAACCCGATGACTGATAGGCCAAGTGGAATCAGCGACATTTGTTGCTCACTCGGCTAATGTGCTTTTAATGAGCGTGGAAGTTTATCGAATTTGGTCACGGGGAAGTCATTAGGATAGGCCAAAAATGGACAAACTTAAAAACTTTCAAGTGCACTTATAGTAGAAAACAATAAAATACTTTGAAAATCACAGGAAATAATAATCAGGAAACTAATTAATATACCAATAATAAAATGCCATTAATTAAAATAGTAAAATATATTTAGATAATTTCGATATAGTCTTTCAAAATACATTTAAATTTAAACAAAATATATTTCTATTTCAGTGTTAAAAATGTATATCCTTTTTATTTTTCTATAATTCAAGTCAATTAAGTACTTTAGATATCAGATTAAATAATATTCAGGAAACTAATTAAAATAACCAATTTATTACAAATAAAAATCATACCATATTTTGTAATCATTTTTATAAATATACTTGAATTTAAGTCTTCATAATTGATTTTCTTTTTA